ATGTACTCATGCACAACCACACACACAATCCCATGTACAACCCCATGTACACTCAGTCACTTCGATGCGTAGTCACACCACACACAAGCCCACAGGCTCATGCACACATTGCAATGCACTCACACACAACTCCATGCAAAAACTCCCACACCCGCCCATATACAAGTCCATATACTCACATACGCACTCCCATGCACACCTCATACCTGTACACAACCCCAAACATGTGGATACACAGAGGCACATAGCACAGCCTCAGTCCACCCTGCCTGTGCTGGCGAAGGAGCCAGAGCAGGGGCCAAACTGGAAGGGAATCCACTATCAAAAGAGTCCCTCCATCAATGCCAGGGACCATTCCCAGGCTCCTGGGCACGACACAGGATGGAGCCACTCTCAGAAGAGGCAACACAGGTGCTAGGGACTCACAAACCAAGGTGCTAGGGACTCACAAACCAATGCCAGCACCCAGGGCTTTTCTTGGAGCAACTGAGGCCACCTCTCTCCACAGTCACCCCAACCTCCTCTGCTGAGCCTCGTGCAGCTGAAGAGGGTACAGCACACAGAGAGAGCTCTGCGTCACAGCATCAGACCCACGCGGAGACTCGGGGTAACAGCGGATCTAGCCTTGTATCAGAAGGGGACAGTGTGGCAGAAACAGGCCCCGGGGTCCAGAAACACGCACCAACGCAGGTCTTCTGGTCTGTGTCCAGCTCGTAGCCTCGGGGACAGGTGCAGAGGGGCCCCGCGCTGCTGTGGCTGCAGCCATGGGAGCAGCCGCCATTATTGACCTCACAGCTGTTGACAATCTCCATCTCGATACCTGCAATGAGACCAGGGGCTCAGGACAACGGACAGGGTCTGGAGAACCCCACTGAGCACAGTCCTCACCCGTGCAGCAACCAGCCCCCAGCCCCTCAACCAGGAAACAAGGAACTCTGGGAGCTCAGAACAGGCCAGGCTCTGCCCACCCAGCCCAGCCCACAGCACTGCTCCTAACTGACAAGGAAGTACCAGCCCGGGGCCAAAGCAGGCGCGTGGGGCAGTGACAGGCAGGGGAGCCAGGCTGCTGGCCTGGATGACCCCCCCCCCAATGCCTGCAGGTGATCGCAGACTCCCAACAGCACTGCCGCCCCTCCACACCGCCCGTGTCTAGCGGAGGCGCCCATCTACTGCCCACTTACGGTAGCACTGCCGCCCGTCAGCGCCCAGCTCATAACCAGCATGGCACACGCACTTAAAGGAGCCTCGCGTGTTGAGGCAGCCGTGGGCGCACTGAGCCTGCCCGGTGGCACATTCATCCACATCTGCAAGGGAGAGATCAGAGAGACGGGCTCTGAGCTGATGGCCTGGGAGACCCGGTACCCAGGAGGGGCACAGCTGGGTGTTCAGGAGAGTCACCCCAGGCCCATGCACCCCAGTCCACAGTTAAATCAATTCCGAGCTCCTGTATCACAGCTGTACCCACATCCTATGTTCCCTTCATTCTGTAGCTGCATCCAATGCCTCTGGGTCCTGTTTCATGATTGAGCCTCTCTGAACCCCCTCTTCTATAACGACATCCTACTCTATAACTCTATAACTTCACCACCTACTCTGTGACGGCGTCTCAGGCCCTCTGTGCCCACACCCTCAGTTCTGCACCTGAACCTCAGGGTCACTGGACCGTCTCTGGACCTCGTTCCCCTGTCCAGCCACCTTCTGATGTGCAAGCTCCCAAGAAGACACCGCTGGGTGCAGGAGACACGTTAAGTAACATAAAGAATGGCCTAAAGTGGACAGCACTGCAAGGATCTTCAGGTCCTGCTGGTGACTCTGAGTGCAGGCTTAGTCTCTCTGTATCCAGGTCTCTTCGGTGGTGCCATGCATGGGGCTGAGGGTACCTGGGAGTCCCCAGTCTGGCATCTGGACCTGATGGCCCCAGGCACTGTCACCAGCACCTCACCCTTGCTGGTGTCAGCATTCAAATTCCCTATGCACTCCACCACTATATTTACACCTATAAGATAATTTGCTGTGGTGGCCCAATAAGTAAGGCGTTATGCTTCCAACTCAAAGGGCACGTAGTTCGAATCCACCAGCTGCTCCTTGGAAGACAGATGGACAGTTTCCTCCTGTACTATTTACGGCCTCTTAAAACCTGCTGGAAGGTCAGCTATGGGTTGATTCTGACTCCACAACAATGAGAGAGAGGAAGTTCTAAGAAGGAAGGAATCTGTCAAGAAGCTGCACTGCAATCCCAGAGGCACACAGCTCAAATCCACCAGATGCTCCGCTGGAGAAGTGGGGGAAATGTCCTGTGCCAGTCGGATCCGATTCAACAGTAACAACAACAATGAAGGAAAGAATCTGACCTTCAATCTTCTCTCAAGGATCTCACCTGAACCGTAAAGCTCCTAGGACCACAAAGCCTGCCTTTCTACCTGGCAGACACTTTTCAAAGGGTCCTTCCGGGCGTTAGTGAAGACTGGAATACAGCTTCTCGCCCTCTGCTGGGACCACCTCTGTAGACCACCAGGGTGGTTAGAGGAAAAGCTGATCGGGCTGCCTGCGCCTCCCATCCCACCTGGGACCCTCGAGTGACACAGTCACCACAAGGCACACACGTAGACCTCAGGGCAGTCAAAGGTCTTCTCTTTGAGAAAAAACTGCCCGACTGTGAATGCATGTGAGCGTAAGTCTGCATGCACCAGCTTATTAAATTATACGTGTGCTATGTAACGGGGAGCTGGTGTGGTTTTAAACAAGTATAGATATGCAGACTGGCTCATGTGTGTTAAATATACAGTACAGGAATGACAGGTCGGGGTCAAGGCATCAAAACGTCCCCGTGAGGCCTGGGAGGGGTGTCTTCCTCCCCCTTCAATGCTCTCTCCTGCATTGGTTTCTAGTAGGCAAGCACTGCAGACATCAATACTGAAGGAATCTATGCAAAATACTGAATGATGCAGGAAGGGGAGTCACTGAACCAAAAAGAAACGGTTGATGATCAACATTGTAGGAAGCAGCATATGATTAAGAATTAATGGTTGTGAAGAAAGAAGTCCACGTTGCACAAGACTCCAGGAATTCATGGAAAATCAACTGAGAAGGTTTCAATTACCAGATGCAGCCCTGGACATGCTCCCTCGGCTATGCCAAGAAATTGGCATCACCTGGAACAGGTGTGCCATTCCTCAAACCCCACACTCATCTCATTCTGGCCACGTTGGGACCAACTCATAGCTGGCCTTCCAGCGAGTTTTTGGAGCCTGTAAATAAACCACACATGAAGAGACTGTTCACCTTTCTTCATTGGAGCCACTGGTGGATTTGAACCAGCCACCAGGCAGGTAATCACTTTGGGGTTCCCTGTGACCTAAGCTATCAAGTCCTAAAAAAGGAAAGTGAAAATTATTGAACAAGAGCTGTGATACAGAGGGTCGTTATGAATCGCAGGTGACTCGATGGCACATAGCAACAACAACAACCACTCTCATTTATATTATATACAACTAAAAGCTTGCTGAAGGGAATTTAGAAACAGCTGGAGCAGTACATCAACGGGGACCTGCCAGTAATTCAAGCTGGAGTCTCAGGGTTAACTGTGTAGAAAAATATTTTTAAAATTAATAAAACCAAACCAAATGACCCTGGGATCCCTTGCTTCCTTGTAGTCACAGGAGACTCCAGTCAGCACCAGCCATCTGGGACGTGTTGCTGCCCCTCTCTATGCCTGCCAGCACCCCTACTCCTACAGCAGAGATGATGGGGGCCAAGCAGCCCATGTGCCATCCAGGGTCACCCAAGAGTGACTAGACAGGCCAGTCCAGCTCGCCAAAGGCTCAGTCTAGCCAGACACAGCTGGGTCCATCCAACCAGAGAGACACATGTCCCCCTTCCAGTGTCAGAGACAAGCTGGCTGACTCTGGTTGGGACTGGAGCAGCGGGCAGAGCCATATGGGCAGGGCCCAGGCTGGTGGGGAAGGGGGCACGACAGGTTGAGGGATGGGGTCAAGGTTGTCAGGGGTGGAGATGGGGTGATGGGGTGATGGTGGGGTTGCAGGAGCCACAGGGCTGGAAGACATGGTGGGGCACGGGAAGGGGCGGGGCAAGCTGGACCCACCTTCACAAGCCTTGCGGTCCTCAGCCAGCCGGTAGCCAGCATGGCACTGGCAGTGGGCGAGGCCCCTGTGGACCTGGCATGTGTGCATGCAACCTCCATTCCGGTCGGCACACGGGCTTCTCCCTACAGGCGGAGGGTGGAGGGAGCAGTCAGGACGAGCGGGACCTGTCCCAGCTGAGTAGAGACTCAAGCACACTCACGCCTCCACCAGCTCTGACCAGTAGACACCCCAAGAAGGCCCTGCCATCTCAGGGTAAAGTCACCACCACCCCTGGAATCCTCTGGAAGACAGGAATCTCCCATGATGTTCACCCTCGTCCAGGGCCAAGATTCCTGGAACCCCACTGATGACAGGAAGTAAGGCGGGGAACCCCACCCCAACCTCCTTCCTCTGCCAGCCGCAGGCAACAGGCTGGTCAGTTGCCTAGTGAGAGAACTCTTCTCTGAGCCTGTGGTCCTTAGCCGTTCGCCAGCTGCTGGCCTCCATCCCTCCCACACTCATCCTCACCCCTCTCCTGGTGGAAACACCCATGGGTCAGTGTGGGGTGGGGAGGGGAGCGAGCTCTCATCGTCTGCCCACCACCCCAGCTTTATTTCCACATTCAAGGTTCTCTGCATCTGCTCCACTTTTGTCACCACCCCTCCTCCTGTGAAGAGGAGCCCCGAGACCCCAGGACACAGGCCAGAAGGCCCTGGCAGCCGCTCGGTTAGGGCTGGGTCCTGGGCTCCCTGTACCCACAGTGAAACCCAGAGCAGGGCAGGATAAGACCCCTCCAGAAATCTCTGGGACTGAGGCATTCACTGAGGCCCTTCCAATCTCTTGGGGCCCCCCCACAGCTCAGCCCTTCATTGTGCCCTGGGGTTGGGAACCCCGCCAGTCTCTCCACAGCAAGTGTTTCCAAAGACCCCAGTGGGGCTATCTCCCTGGGTATCTACAGCACCAGTGGCCCATTGGGCACTGAGTCCCTGCTCTGTCCTTGGGGAGCCCATGAGCAGATGTGGGGACTCACGGACGCAGCGCTTCCCATCCTCCTGGAGCTGGTACTCCGGCCGGCACTGGCAGCGGTGCCGTGTCGCTGTGAGCTGAATACATTCATGTTGGCAGCCGCCATTGCCCAGGGTGCAGGAGTTGATGGCTGAGAGACAGGGGAGGGGCTCAGCTCAGCCAAGAAAATAGTCACACAGAGCAGGAGGTGCAAGGGAAGAGCAAGAGCAGGGGTGCAAGCGGGGGTGTGGGAAGGCAGGCTGACCCTCCAGGCCCCTCTTTGCCATCTGCAGCCTGACCCAGACTGGCAGCCTCCATCCCAGGGACAGGGCCTCTGGAGGCCAATGCATCCTTTGCCCGCCCCACAGGGGATGCAGACCCTTGGCCTCTTTAGCCCCAATCCTCAGAATCTTGGTGCAGAGACTCTGCCTGTGGTCCAGCCCCTAAGGAACCCAGGTCGTCTCTCACCGGACACAAAGCCCGGAGACCTAAGAGGAAGAGTATAGGGCCTGGTCCTGTGAGCTGGTCCAGCAGAGGATGGAGGCCTGGCATCCTACTACCAAATGTGGGCACCTGGGTTGGGAGGGGGTGGGGGGAGGAGTGAGCAGAAAGATGCCAGAGTCTGAGGGGTGTGTGCACCAAGACCAGACCAGGCCAGCACACAGTTAGTCTCCGGTGACACCACGGGCCAGAGAGAGGCTGCAGCCCAGCTCCCGAAGAGCTACATGGCCTCCGTGCCTCGGTGTCCTCCCCCGTGACATGAAGTGACAGCAACCTCATCTCATACACTCAAAGGGGCCATGCAGAACTGGGAAAGGCCACATGATGGGGACAGGAAGCACCATACAGAAGTGGTAGCCAGCAGATGACTTATGGCCGGCAGAGGGCAGGGTGCAAGTAGGTCTCCTGAGTCCTAGTCCCCAGCTCTGCCTTTGCCGGAGGGATGTTGCTTTGACCCAATCCTAGTGACACATATGCAAATCGTCCAGGGGCAGTGGTGGGGACAGTGGTCAGGGCTAGCATGGGGGGAAAATGCTGCAGATATGACAGGCTTGGCAGTGTCCCTTGGAAGCCCTTGCTTCCCACCAGATCATACCCAGGACCCAGTCCATCGCAGCAGCAGAACTGGGGGAAGCCCCAGGGCCAGAACCCCAGGCTCCGTCTGAGAAGAATGGTCCGCAGTGGTCAGACTCCTGGTCAGCACAGGAGGCTGGCCCAGGGAGCCGGGTGAAGCTGGCCCCGAGTGGGCACTGGGCCTCCGGCAGCAGCAGCAGCCAACTCCTCGGAGGGGATTTGGTTACCATCAAGTCGCTGGCAACTGCCTCTGTGGTTAGCGAGGGATCCAGCCGGAGCCGGGAGGAAAGCCACAAGAATGTGCACGGCCGATGCCACAGTGAGGCGGCGTCTGCCAGGCGAGGCTGCCCCGAGTGGCATCTGGCAAGCAGCAAACCCGAGGCCACTCGCACAGCACCCCCAAGGGCTGGACATCACCTGAGATGCTGCATCTGTTCTCACTGCGGGTCCCACCTGGGGGTCTCTTTTCTGCCATCATGTATGGGACCTGTGTGTGGCAACGGGGTCCACCAAAAGGCACCAGCAGGGGGACTCTCGGGGTTGGGCAATAGCCTTCGTACTGTGTTCTACCCCCTCAAACAGAAGCTGTCCCAAAGTCTCAGACAAGGCCTGGCCGCTCACTGCCTCCCCTCCGAGCACACTCGCTTTACTTAGAAATTAGCCACAACACTCAGGACACTGGCCTCAGTCTCTCCCTGTGGGACATACTGGTAGGAAGTACATGCTGATGGTCCCCTCTTGTGCCAAGTTCTAGGGGCGAGGGCTGTAGTGTCAAATCTAAGACAGAGACATCTACCTAGAGGTCACCCCCCAGCCTGAGCAGGGTAGAGAGAGCTTCGAGGCTGTGTTGAACAGTCCCCCTTCCCTACAGATGCCTCTCTCTACCTCCCTTCCCTACATGCAGCCCTGGCCCCATGCCAAGGCCGTCCTGGCCTCCGAGGCTGTACTGTTTCACCTGCCCAGGCAGCCACCAGCCTTTGTGCAGAGCCTTCTGCCCCCAGCCCGAAACGCCTGCATTCCTGGGGGCTCTGTTTATTTGTGTTAACAACACCACTGCATTCCCACTCAGGACACTTAATAGGAACCAGAAGCCCTTCTGGCAGGGCCAGCAGGCGTACATCGGGGTACAGAGCCCAGCGCAGGGAAGCCAGGCTTCCTGGACAGGCACCACCGGCTGCAGGAGGGCCCAGGAAGCTGGTGGCAGGACTGTAAGGACAGGGGCCTTCCCGATGGCTGTCTGGGGACAGACAGGCGTCATGCTCAGTGGAGCACTGCAGTGAGGAAGGCAGGGCAGGGGCAGGGGCAGGGGTGACGCAGGGCAGACTGGCTCCCGGGCAGCCTTGCACTCTCCTGAGCCTGGCCTCTCTCTGCTCTGCCCCATGATGCTCATAACATTCCAGATGCTTCCAAGCTGTACACAGCAGGGAGCCAAGGGCAGTGTCATCGCAAGCATCCTGTGATGTGGGTTCCCAGAAAGCTGAGCAAGGCAGATTCCCTGGTGATGGGCCGTGCAGCTCAGGGCCAGGCTGGCCAGTGTGAGGAGGTCAGGGCTCCAAGCCTGGGGTGACATTTTCCAGACTCTTCGAGCCGCTGTGCAAGCCGGCCACAGAGTACATGTCCCAGCAGTCCCTGTTAGGCTGAGGGGTTCACACGTGGCTACAGCCCTCACATCAAGACCAAGCCCTGGTGCACAGCAGAGGGCATCCTTCAGAAGACAAGGCTTAGGATTTTGCTTCCAAATGAAGGGAACAGCCCCTCCTCATTCTGTACAAACACCCACCCCCCAACTATGAACAGATACAATCCCTAAAATGGGCTAAAAAAAATCTCTTGAGCAATTATGGTACATTCACTATGTAGCACGCAGGAACAAAGATTTTGAAAATCACTACCTAACTTGGGAGGGACTGGAGAGCATTATGCTGAGTGAACTAACTCAGTCCCACAAGGACAAATACTATACAAGACCATTATTGTAGAAACAGAAAGGGGGGAAGGGGAGAAGCAGAGGGGTGAGGATGGGGGGAGGAATCATAGGACTGAACAATTTGATGGGTGGAGGGAGGAGTGGGTAAAGGAAATGGGAAAGATCTGGTGTGAAAAAGAATGTATATGAACTGTGTAAGAAACCAGTATTGAAAGAAAAAACTTACATTAAAAAATAATACTTATATCATGGAATTACAGAAAGAGTTATATGACCAAAAAAATGACTCTAACTCAGAAAAAGAAAAAACAAACCCCTTCATATACTCTTTTACCTTTACTGTAACATTGACATCCACTGCAACCACGTCAATACTGACTCAGGATCTCCATCAAGTTTTTGAGATCTTTACATGAAAAAACTGCTCCTCTTTCTCTGAGGAGCTGCTGGAGGATTTGAACCTTCAACGTTTCCAGTTAGCAACTCAAAATCTTATGCCTAATGCCACCAGGAAACCTTGATAATAGCACTTCAGAAATCAAATCACATATTGCACTGGGCAAATCTTCTGTCAAGGACTTCTTCAAGATGCTAACAAGCAGAATGTCACTTTGAGGGCTAAGGTGTGTGCCTGACTCACCTATGGTACCTGTAATTGCCTCAAAATCAATAAAAAAGGGAGGTCAAATAAAAAAAGAATCAATGCATCTGAACTGTGATGGTGAAGAGTATTGAGTATATCGTGGACTTCCAAAAGAACAAGCCTGGCTTGGAAGAAGTACAAACAGAATGTTCCTTAGGAGTAAGGATGGGAAGACTTCATCTCATATACCTGGATGTGTTTTCAGGAGTGTCTGTTGTTGTTGCTGTTGATTGCTGTTGAGTCAAGTATGACTCATAGCGACTCTGAACAAAAGACCTAATGCCTTTCATAACTATTGTGATTTCTCCAAGTTGATAGAGTTTCCAGAGGCATGTGGTTTAGGAAGTGGATGCCACTCCTGCTTCCAAACACATCTCACAACTGGGAGCTCCACCAAACACTGTCCACATTGGGAAACCATTCTGGTATTTGATACCCCAATGGCACAAGGTTCATCATCACAGCAACCCAGGTTACTTCATACAGCACATTGACAAAGAGTGATGTGCAAAGTGGAAGAGTGTTCCTCCAGATACAACAGCACTAGTCTCATTTAGCAGTGGTTAAGTGTCATCGAGTCGAATACGACTCAGAGTAAGCTTTGCACATAAGACCTGAACTCTGTTCTATAACTAACATCATTTCTGCACACTAGTCCCTGGAAAAAGACATCATGCTTGGTAAAGTGGTGTCGTTAGGTACCATCAAGTTGACTACAACTCATAGCAACATTACGAACAACAGATCTGAACCCTGCCTTATCTTGCACCATCCCAATGATCTCAGATATGCTTGAGCTCCTTACAATCACTGTGTCAATCTATCTCGTTGAGAGTCTTCCTCTTTCACTGACTCTCCACCTCTCCAAGCACAATGTCTTTTTCAAAAGACTAGTCCTTCCTGAAAACACTCCCAAAGTCTGTGAGATGACGTTTTACCAGCCTCTAAGGAACATCCTGGTTACATGTTCTAGATAGACATTGTTTATTCTCTGGGCAGTCCATAAGCTATTCAGTACTCTTCTCCAACACCATGGTACAAAGCAGTAGATGAGTGAAAAACCTTCAATGAAATGGATTGACCCAGTAGGTACAACAATGAGCTTCTCAAGCACAGCATAAACTGTGAGAATGGTACAGGACAGGAAATGTTTTGTTCTGTTCTAGATAGGGTCTCTATGAGTTGGAGTCTATTTGACAGCACCCAACAATACTGAATGAAAAAATCCTCATAGCGAGAATGTTTGCTTTTCAATATAACAAGAACAAGGCTTCCCAACATTCCCCCACACTCACACACCTGACTTTAGAGGAGGTCTGGTGGTGTGGTTCTGTGGTGTTAAAGATTTATTGTTCAAAAGGGCTTTCCTAGTCATTAACTGACTTTGCCATGTGGATGGAAGGGAATATGAGAACAGGGCATGTTAGTCTTTCTATCAGGGGACTGTCTACTTTTGCCAATCCACATGGGCATTGGCTAAGTTTCACCATTAAACCAAGTGGATCCT